TCGCCCCATCCTGTAGCGACTTACGATCATTTCACACTGCAGCCATTCTCAACGAATCAATGGATCCAGATTGCTTCGGCCCACATCATTTTCAGAGCTTCAGAGTGTGATTTCTACGTACTGGCCTAACGAATTCTGATACACTGTCGACTATGAATAGGACTTAGACATTATTTTATCAATGAAATCGATCAAATCCCTAACATATGACCAAGACATGACTATTATCTGGGCCTGTCTCGTATTGATACTCTGGGTTACCACAGATAAGTCACGTCATTCGTTGGGAAACCGAATCGGATAGATAACAGCACCCATCTGCACGAGCTGGAATAGGTTATCGTCTGAACCAAAGACCACTCCGTCGATTGGGACAATCTGACAGAACCAGACCGGATACGGATGTGTACTTCAGTGAATGTTCACCTCCGAGTGAACTGTTTCCACATCTCTGTGGCTAGTTGAACAACAAGGTTGGTGTAGTACGTTCGATACAACAACGCATGAGCGATTTGGATGATCGAAACGTCGATATAGAGTCAATAATCATCATCGACAGCATGAAATCAGTGTTCAACACCGATGCTTCACTGCCGTATTATAGAGTCAAACTTACTGTGAAAGTACTTCTTCCCACGGAAAGATCACCGTATCTGGTAATCTATTGTCTCATCTGGTCATTCAGTCTAACTGAACGATTGGAGGTTAATTCACACTTGAAGGCTAATAGTACTTCCTTCATAAACTACTCACAAGGTTGCTGAAAACTCCTCGACAGCCGATGACCGGTTTCGCACTTATTGGGGCTCATCAGGTAGGCACAGTCCCCGAGTCTCCGTCAACCTTATGATCTACTTGAACCCAAATTGCACTGTTTTCGAGAAATACACTCATTTGCAAATCAATTCGGTTTTCACAAGAGACTCAACTAAATCTGTAGAATATCATAAACGAGAGATTCAGTTGACTGTCTCGTGAAAACCAAATTGATTTGCAAATGAGTGCATTTCTCGAGTACTTCTTTCAGTTTGAGCCAGCTACAAGCGTCCAGTTTGAAGACACAAGGTTTTTCTCAACGGGGCACCACACAAGGTCCACACTGAAAATACTTTCCCAAAATGACTTTAGCACCACGATAACAAGCAACGGCATTTGGTCTACCACAAGCTGAAAACTATTCAATATACTCCTAACCGTTCGAGCTTTTGTCGCCAGGCCTACCATGTGGCTGACAAGACGGAAAAAGAAACGGGAGTTCAGCTGGTAACATAAAATTCGATGCGAAATATACACAGCAAGATAGAAGGAGCTGGAGAGACACAGGCAATAATATCCAGTCGGGAATCGATTGAAGAATTGCCACAGGAACGAAATGATATAAAAACGACAAGGTGGCATAAATCAAGTAAACCAACCTAAGAGAAGGTAAGAATGAATGAAGAGAGGTAGATGGGTATGGAACGAATACACCAACTGCTGCTTACGGATGTTAGAAGAACGGATTTTGGGCGATAAAACGAAGACAGGGATAGAACAAATGATATAGGTGGATGTGGACGATATCACTGTACAAAGGTGCGGGAGAGTAACAAAAAAAATCCTCTCAATGGTTCATACATGCCGTTGGTTGGCGTTCCTGTTCTGAAGCGTCGGTTGAGCGGAATTCTGACGTGAAGGATTAGGAGATTCCCAGGGGATCGATCGACTCTCACACAAACAGCAAAAGACGGAAAGGAAACAGTGGAGTATAAAAAGGAGGAGGAAGACGAAATCGGGTCGTGTATTCACAAAAGACATGGGGATAGGTGAGGCGAGTAGGGTTCGGATCGACGATACATCTTGAGACAAAGAAGAGACCGGAGAGTGAAAAGGACGAACCTGACATGAGTGTAGAAATCGCTTAGGCTGTGACTCTGTGAAAGACCGCAGTGAATTGGAACTGATGAACGAGGTATGAGATCCGGTGTGCAGGTTTGTTCTGTACATTTGTTCAAGCTGAGAGCAGAGATGAGAAACAACGATGGAAACAATTAAAAATGGCTTCGTTTTTGAAAATTCTCAGGGCAATATCACTGTCTGGTGGTTAGCTGAAATGAAAATTCAAGATGACGTCACTTAGCGGCTGTGAAGGAAAAAAACAAGAAGTACGATATGATGGGGGGGGGGGGGGGACAAGGGGTTACGCGAATTTACTGACCGGAAAGTGTGTGGTTCGAACGCGACCTCCGCCTCTCAACTCCCCCTGTCTAGGCTTGGGCGACCTGACAGCCTTCGTGCGACCTTCGGGTGGCATGGCAGTTAGGCTACAGCTGAACGATATGATGGTCACGGCGCTTGGCAGTAAAGTGATGCGTCCCGGAAGCGAACGACAGCCTTGGATTTGAGAAGACACTCGAGAAAGTAAAGTAAAAAGTGAATGCCCAAAAGTAAGATTAATCCAACGGTGGTCATACTACTGATCATCTGCACATCCTCGATGGACGAAAATGATTCGAAGAACGTACAGACTAGACCATCAGCTGCCAGCTAGAAAAGCAGTGTAGTTCTGATGTCCCGATCTGTTGCCAACCAGGCCCGCTTTTTCTATTGGAAACGAAACCTCTTTCCAATACACACCGCCCACCTCTCAAAGATTTACGAAATCAGTCGCCAATGGAGCCGGTTGCACTCATGATCATCATCATCATCGACAGCATGACATCAGTGTTCAACACTGATGCTTCACTGCCGTACAACCATGACTTATTTGAAAGCCTTATTGTAAAGAAAAGAGTAAAGGTGGACGGAGGAGGGACTTAGTGCTAGCTTGACACATTCATTCCGAGGTGCCTACACCTCCAGACATTCACTCAGGCGATCTGGATAGAAACTGACAGCAAGAACGCCACTGACATCGGTTGGCAGCCATATCTTTTAGTGTCTCCAACCAGGCACAGTGAGGATCACGCGGTCCCCATCCCAAAAGGCGAGTAGCACCGACAGCACCCAAGCGTTTCGTGATCTCCTTCCTACTCCCTTAGACTTGGCTGCCAACCGATGTCAGTGGCGCACTATTATGGTAGGAATACAGGTACGTGAACGGCCAACCGATGCGGTTCGCTGAAGGCAAATCGTACCATCTAGAAGGAAGTAACGGAGAAATGCTGGACAGGAATAGAAGCTGGGTCCGGAGTACTAAAGTCAGCGTGCACTGTGACACTGCATACTGCAGCTGAACGCATGGAGCACGTTGGGAGCAGTCGAACGAACACCGCAATCTTCCAGTGAGCAGCAGGACCAGAGGAGACAAACCCAACGCGCATTCGAAATACGGGATCCAACGGGTGAAAATTGCGAGCGAGTCAATATTGACTGACACATGGGTGGGAGTTCCGTCCCCAGTTAAACCCCGACTTGTCGTCCGAAAGTTGGACTAGTGCCTATAAACGGCTGATCTGGCACTCAGTTTTCGCGCTACATTATGACCTCTAAAATCACGATGGTTAACAGGCTTGCAAATTCTATGATTAACGGAACAAAACTCGGATAATATGTCCCACCTGGTGAGTGGACGCGCGCATATTATTGAATCACAGTCCGATACAGACAATGTCTTAGATAATCATGAAAGCAAAAAGAGCTAAATGAAGAGCAACACTCAAAAGTTGCTTTTTCCCTTCTGTTGCTGTCTGCAGGTTATCGTTTGTTCACATTTTAGCTGGGAGTAGCACACGGGGAAAGGTGGCATTCGCCATTTGGCCATACAGCCCATGCACTTCAGTCATAAGCAGTCAGTATTTCTCGACTGCCAACCAGGGAGTCGGGACGAACCCATCGTAGATAAGCTTGAGTCGAATTCTTCATCCTCTTTCGTCACATCATAGACTAACCATTCCATCTTTTTCCCAACTTCTGCTGACAAGCATGAAGAGTGAGCGGTGGTCAGTCAATGGTCAGGATCACACCAAACTCCACCAAACCAGGCCATATGCACCAGGAATTTTCCGGCGAACCTTTTCATTACTTCCACGATGCTCACACCAGGTGCGATAAGTAATGTGTGAACACAGACTTTCAAAACTGCCAGTTTGTGCCTGCCCATGAGACAAAGAGGCCATGTCCCACCAACACACAGCAATACTGCATGCACGTTTACACCGTACAAGCATCCTTTCAATGAAATCCGCAGGTCACGCCGACCCACAGGTTTTCATGCTGGCGAATGCGAACTCGGCCTTGGGCGCACGCAGTAGCACTCCACACCGATGATTGTACCAAGATGACAACTTCCGATGTAAACAAATCTACTGCCTGCAGTTCGAACAGAATGACAGTACATGCAGATGTCGTTCAAGCTTGGAACATCACGCATGCGGAATCGTACAAACTCGACCGCAAGAAAACTTGTCACATTTTGAACTGATCCAGTGCTAGCACCCAGCATGACAATGCCATCTGCAAGTCTAGATTTGTGATCCATATCCCTGGAAGATCAACTTCACGATGAAAAGCGTCCAGATGGATGTCATCAACATCAAAAAGAAATCCGAAAGCAGGAGAAACGCAACCATCATTTAATGAAACTTTGGGACAGTTATTCCAGCTGCCAAGCGGATGCACTGCTATCGTCCTCAGTGCGTAGGTTTCGGGAAACATTCACCGGTGGTGGCGGACGATGAGTCATTTCGTATTCGGCCCGAGTTCCGACCGCTTTTCGGGGTATTTGGGACACCACTGAAACATCTCGACAACCTGCCTACCTTGTGTAAGTCGATGGTGATTGATACAGGGGAAGTATCCAGCAATACGAACCATATTGTCATGTTTGAGTACCAAAATACGGGTTTCACATAACAGTATGAGGGTGCTTATGGGACATCAGAGTGTGGTTCATGTCGTTCGATGCGTAGTTGGGTGTGGTCGGGGCTGTGGATTCTTTTACTCCTTTCTTATTGTGTACAACATGATTCCTCGTTTCATTTTGTCCGTTTAGCGAATAAACCACCTTTCTTGTCTTCTTGTATACCTGTATTGGAATTGTCAGTTTCTTGGATGAACTGACCAAAGTCATCCCGTCCTTTGGTATGCATTTTGCACCCACAAAGTGTAAGGTCAGGCTTGTGGACGTGCAGTCACTGAACACGCCACTTACAATCCAGGGAGATGACTGGAAGTTGTGGAGCGTCTTACGTATCTTGGAAGTTGTATTGGTTCTGACTGTAGTGTGACAGCTGAGGTGAATGCACGAATCTGCATGGCTCGGACCGCGTTTACTAACTTGAGACACCAATGTTTCATCACTGAATCTCAAGGGACGTGTGTATCAAGCTACAGTACGGGCTGTTTTGTTGTATGGCTGTGAGACTTGGCCTATTCGAGCAGCGGACCTGAGACGTCTTCAGGTGTTCGACAATCGTTGTCTCAGAACCATAACTCGTGTGCGTTGGTGTCGGCGAATCCGTAACGAGGCAGTTAGGACGCGTGTTTTCGGTTGTGTAACGGGTACTTCCATTGAAGAATGTGTCCAGCACCAGAAGCTGCGTTGGTTGGGACATGTTTTACGCATGCCGAACCATCGTTTGCCGAAGACAGTACTGTTTTCC